TATTTAAATGTGTTAAAATAAAATAATAATGTATACAAATGTTTTATACCATTTAAATGAAAATTCATTTTACAATTATTTTCATTCTTACAAAAGGAGGTGTAATGTACCTACCTACTCACATGTAAGATAATTAAAGTATCTATGTATTTCTATATAGTTTTTAGTCACCTGGTATATGTTATTTACAATTATGAAAAGTTCTCATGTATAATCACTAATAATTATTTGCTGTTAGAAATCAGAATCAATACTCTTCATAAATATTTTCCTATTTAGAATAAATAAGTTTCGCTAGTTTATTCGCCTAATACTTCGTATCTATGGAATAATAATAATTTATTTCTCTTATTTCTTTGTTCGATAAGCTATCCGTATTTGCTATTTTAATATTAATATTTGAGTCCAATCTCTTGTACTCAAATCCATCCAGAAACATCGTTAAATAATTGTAGATAACAGAACTTATAAATTCATAGTTTTAAGAAATAACAGGCAGTGTAATTTTCATCCTCTAATATAATAAATTTATACATGTCAATATATTCTGTTTAATTCCAAAACAAAGAGTTAGTCCGGAGAAGAAATAAACGCATAGTATTCCATAACACTTCGAATAATGTCACGCTACGATCAGAGATTTTGTTTTTTAAAAACTTTTTATTTAAATAGGTACTTGCTTTCTTTACGGGTTTTTATCAAAAAGAAAACTGATTTTTGTTTTAAATTATTTAGCTACCACCTTTGAGAGCTCATTTAACCCAATATTAAAAATTGTACCATTACCTTTGATATCTTAACAGGACCCACTATTTTGGAATTTAAGTACTACCTTAAGGACCAAAATGAAACACAATGTTTGTAAATCCAAATTATACCTATTTCACAATTAACATCAAGATGCAGTAACAGTGATCCAGCCACATACAAACTACTAGCGGCGATTAGTTTTTCACAAAGAGCGGAACGCTTCCTCGAGAACTGTGTCACTTCGCTAGGAAAGTACTTAAGCTGAGTACTATTTTAATTATTTCATACCAGCCACCAATAAAGTTTGAATCGCAGCTTGGAGATATATTTTATTGAACAGATTTATTATTTTGTGACTTAAGTTTTTATTTCCTTTACCTATCTGAAATGAGTGTGAAGCGATATGAGCAGGGAACGAACTCAGGGCTGAGCCACAGAATAATAAACAATTAGAATGCCCAATCTCCATGGAAACTTAGGTACGCGCATCTCGTTCGCGCAGACGTTCCGCCATGTTTTAAAGGGAACCGGTGTTGTTTATGTGGTGTGCATAGAAAAATTAACCCGGTTTAATTGACTTACGGCAATCATAGACATACTATACAATTATATTAACATTGTTTAAAGGCTGAACTTACTTGTGTTAGGATCGACAATCGCTAACATTTAGCTGTTGAGGTGGGTGCGGAGCTTGTTGCGATCCGTAACCGTTACCAATATTTTATAAAAACGTTACTTATTTGAATAAGAAGAAGGATGGCGGATGATAAGGTGGATGAAGATAGTAAAAGAAAAAGTAAAGAGGAGCTAGACATCTTTAGCAGGAGCGGAAAAGTGCCAGCAGCAATAACGAAATGATGGAACTAATAAGACAACTAGTAAGCGACAATAAAAAGAAAAACAAGGACCTAAAAGATATAAAAAATACAATGGACAATATGACTGAGGAACTAAAGAAATTAGGAAGGAAAATAGTGAATACAAATTGCAAATGAAAGAAATAATAAGAGAAAATGAAAATCTAAAGCAAAAAATGGCTACGATAAAACAAAAGATAGATAAAATAGAAATAACCTTGAAAGCATGTCAGAAAGAAAAAAAGAAAAATAACCTAACAATGAAAGGCTTACCAATAGACACAATAGACGCAGAGCAACTAGAGAACTTTATAGAAACAAAAACTGGAGTAAAATCAGAAATAAATAGGGTACAAAAAATAAATGACACAATGTGTGTTATCGAATGTAAAAAATTCGAAAATAAAACGAAAATACTGAAAGCCAAGGATAAACTAATGAAAGATAAGCAACATAAAGTATATATAGAATGGGATCTAACATTAAAAGAGTTAGAAATACAAAGAACCGTTAGGAAGATAGCAGCAGATGAAAAGACTAATGGGAAAAGGACAAAAATTGGATATGGTTTCATAGTTGTTGAAGGCATTAAGTGGAAATGGAATCAAAAAACTAGCCGGATAGAAAAAGTAACATACAATACTGAACCAACTTGTTCAAAAAGCTATCTGAATAAAATACAATGACGGACCGAGAAACAAAACAGGCACAAAACATGGACACGGGCAGACTTAAAGATAACACAAACGGACAGAAAAACAAATTGAAGTATAACTTAAACATAAAAAAGAACAAAACAACTCTGAAAATGGCATCATGGAATGTAAGAGGTATAAATGGGAAGGAAATCGAACTGGGGGAAGAAATTAGAGATAACTACATTGAAATATTAGCTATAACTGAGACAAAGAAAAAAGGAAGAGGATCAATAAGATTAGAAAACAGAATGTTACTAATAGTGGAGTGGAAGAAACGAAGATAGCTCAGGCAGGGGTAGCGTGCATGATAAAGAAGGACAATATCAATAAAGTAAAAAATTGGATATATTACAACGAACGTATACTACGAGTAGACATAAATAAGGATACAGAGGAAACCAATACAAACCTAATAATATGCTATGGACCAGATGAAGACGCAACAAAAAACGAAAAGAATGAGTTCTGGGACAAAGTACAAGAAGTGATTAATGATTGAACAGAGAAAATTGTGATCACAGGAGACATGAACAGTAGAGTGGGAAAAGAAGCAGAAAAATGGAACAATGTCATCGGACCTTATGGGAAGGCAAAACTAAACACAAATGAAAAATTACTACTTGAATTATGTCTAGACAATAACCTGGTAATTATGAACACACACTTCCAACATAAAAAGATACACAAGATCACAAGAGAAGTTAAATCAAGAGATGAACAATCAATTATAGACTATACTATAGTGCAAAAAACAGAAAAGAACTGGATAAGAGACGTAAGGGTGAAAAAGAGTTATGAAATTGGTAGTGACCACTATCTACTAGAAACCAGAGTCAAATGCAAAAGAAAAGAAATTAAAAGAAATGAGAACATAAACAAAAAACACAAAAAAATAATAAAAATTTATAAACTAAGGGAAGAAACAACGAAGATAAGATACTCAGAAGAGCTAGAGAAAGTGATGGAGAATAAACATGAAATAACAGAAACAATAGAAGAAGAATGGGAAAAATTAAAAAATGCGATGATAAAAACAGCTAAATCAATATGTGGAACTACAAGAAATAACAACAGAGGGAGACGTACATCTTGGTGGAACGATGAAGTGAAAAGATAAATAAAAGAAAAGAAGAAGTTATGAAAAGAATACATAAAAGACAAAACACATCCAAAATATAATAATAATAATATAACAGCAGAAAAACTGAAATACAACTTAGAGAAATGGAACCTAGAAGCAAGCAAATACAACTTAAACGTAAACAAAGAGGAGACTCAGATAATAAAAATATCAAGGAAACAAGGGACGGAAGATCAACTAGAAATAATGATAGACCAACAAAAAATAATACAGACAAATTCATACAAATACTTAGGAACAGTAATCAACAACAAAGGAGACATCGAGGACGGTCTTAACAATAAAATGCAAAACACAGGAAAACTATTCCAAGCACTAAATAGAGGATTCCTTAATAACTAAGAAATATTAATAAAAACCAAGATGACAATATACAAAACAATATATAGACCTACAGTGACATATGGAGCAGAAAATTGGATACTAAATAAAAGGCATTAAGGCAGAATTCAGGCAGCAGAAATGAAACACCTCAGAAGAACGATTGGAGTAAAAAGAACGGATAGAATCAGAAATGAAGAAATAAGAGAAAGACTAAAAATCAAACTGATTCTCGAATCAATCAAGGAAAAAAAATTGGCATGGTTCGGATATCTAACCCGGAAGGACAATAATAGACAAGTAAAAAGAGTGCGGGACGCCAAACCAATAGGGAAAAACAGAAGAGGAAGACCCATTAAAGAATGGAACAGTGACATCTCGCAGATACTGCAGAGTAAGGGTAAGACTTGGCAAAAAGCAACTCAGATGGCATACAATAGGAAGGAATGGAGAAAGTTTGTCAAGAGCTAGGACACCTCAGAAGATTATAAAATATTGTAATAAATAGAATTGTACTATAAACGGCCCAACACCGAAAGGTACAAATGGGTCTACTGATTAAGTAAGTAAGTATATTAACATTGTTAAATATAATAACATAAATATAATATAATTAAACATATATATATAAACAATTTCATAACCTCACAAATCATATGTCTGTGTTATGTTTTTCCTTCTAAAACATGGCGCGCGTGCTGAAAAACTTCAAAGGCGGCATCTGAGAGTGGGCATCCTGATTGTTTATTATTCTGTGGCTGAGCAGTCGGACAGAAGGCCAATCCAATGGGTAGAACGATGTGCGGTTTTTTTAATATCCTTAGAGATATTCAGAAAAGTTTTTCCCTCGTTTCTCCTAGCAGTGTAGTGTTGCATAATGAGCCTGGTGTTACGACAACTTGGACATTACAGAGCATTAATTGAGTGTTAGACAAAATGAATAAAGATAAGAAACTCTTGTTAACAGTTAAGCAATCAAATACAGCTAATTTTGACCGTATCTTTAGGAACGGTAAGTATGGTTTTCTGTAGTTGAACGTTAAAGGAAACATAGAAATAAGATAAGGCATCGCACGAAAGAAATTTACGCCAATCGCTCAAGGATCCAAGCACAATTATACGATTAATACAAAATAGAGAAGAATATTAGTTGATGGTCGCCACAGTTCGATGAGGAGGTTAAAGGAAAATAGAATATTTTGTTACCATAATATACTGTTTGTTTACATTTACCTGTCTGAAGACCTTTCCCATCTGGATTTTTCTCGTTGGTGTATAAACACACTGGACCTACAAACTTGTTAAATATAAAATCTTCTTTTACTTTAATTAGTGCTATGTCGTTATATTTCACAGGTATTTCAACTTTAGAATGCAATTTAATTGATTCAACGTTTCTTATCTGAGCATTAGACAAATCTTTTTGATCAGTTACTCCAGCTCTTACTCTTAGTTGTGTTACATTTACTCCTCTGAAAGTAAAAAATATAGATTAACAAATATGTAGACAATACTACCGTTTTAAGTCGAGTGGCGAATGCTTATAAACTACTTTAGTTTTTAAAAAACCCATTACTCTCTGTAAATCAAACTTGGTGATTACAAAAATGTTCGTAAAAAAATGAACAGCTTATTTCAGAAAGGGAGCCGAGTCGGTTTTTTGGAGTGGATTCATTCACTATGATGGTAGACACATCGTTTGGAGTAGAAAGGGACCCAATTAAATTATTTTTATAAAGAGAAATTAAATGGCGTACTTTTCTTTTACTACAGAAAAGGACTTAAGACACTGACTGAGATGCTTTTTTGCACTAAAGTAGCAAGTTATCAAACTTGCATCTTGTCTACTCCACCTGATATTATTGTTGTTTGAGGTTATGCTATAGTATGGAATACTATTGGGAACTATTAGGGGTAAGTATTGTTAATTAGAGGCGATATTGGTTAATTTAAAAACATTTTAGTTTTTTTTTAAAAATGAGTGATAGTCACAATGACAGGCATTTACGATGCCTGAAACAGAAACGGAGAAAAGGTATTTTTAATGTAAAGCAATATAAAAGAAACGTTGTAAAACGTGCTCGTATTTCTAGACAAGAATACATTGATTATGGTGGGAAACCAAATTAAACGAAAAGGACCAGATCACCTTGCAGGTAAAATTCTTTACAATGTATTATTCAATGTTATCAAAGTTGTAGGAGCTTGTCGTTTCTTGATAGAAAGTGTTTGTACAATTTTAGAATGATCACTAACTTCTAAACCACAGATAAGCTACTATCTAGTCCCTTATAACCAACTAAGTATTTTCTTCTTCTGTTGTAGGTGTCCCAAAAAATGCTGTACACATTTTGACGATGTTGAACAGGCAATCTTTTTAGTGTGTGTTGCATAGTACGAATACTAAAAACGAACAAGAGATTCACTTGCAGAGAATGATTGACTTAATAGAAGTTAAACAGCATCAAGCTCGTTAACCAGACGCTACATTGAAGGAACACACATTCAAATACCATGTCCTTCTGACAGGTAGGAAGGTACTGGTTTGTAGGAAAGGATTTGTTAGACTCTATAACGTAAATGACAAGCGTATCCGTCGCTTTAGAAATCTTCTCTTGGCTGCTCTTGTTCCTTTCCAACAAAAGAAGAGCATAAGCTATTCCGTAAAACGCATCCTGAAAGTAATATTAAGTACAGTTTTTAATATAAGTACTTTAAGGAAAACTTAAATTTTAGATTTGGTCGGCAACCTAGTGATACATGTAACGTTTGCGAGGAAAAAAATAAACGTATTAAAGATCCTTGACTTAATGAAACTGTAAAAAAGGTTTCTGCTGCAAAACTAATGGTGCAAAAACGTCGAACCAGACGATTTTATTTATCATTGGCAAATTCTAAAGAATTATCAAAACAAACTGATACAATTTTGGGTTTCGTTTTTGAATTTATGCGAAATATAGATTTACCAAAAGTTCTGGTGCAAGAGATATACTACCTTCGACAGTTGACTGTGAACAATTTTTGTGTTTAAAATTTAAAACATTGAAAATGCTCAGTTTTATTTATATCACAAAGGACAAGCAAAAGAAAGCAGCAAATGATGTAGCTTCTTTTCTTGTAGACTACATTGGAGAAAATGTTTCAGATTCAGTAACTTAACTTCATTTATTTTCTGACAATTGTCTGGGTCAGAATAAAAATCATACTTTGATTCGGGTCCACTTAACTCTTAGTATCAACAGCCGGTACAAAACAATTAAACATTTCTTCCCCTTTTAGATGCCATTTAATATTGCCCTGTGATAAGAAGTTTAGCATCATATAATGCCCTATTAGACATTGCGGCCGAATATACAGAATACGTCAGCTATTTGAATTGATTTGCTCTGCTAACCTCAAATCTAAAAATACTCTCAAACTCATAGACACAGAGAGTATAATCAATTTTGATAATTGGTGATCCCACATACACAATACCTCCGTTACCTAGAAGTAGAGACATATGGAGAAACAAATATCTGACCACGGAAAGCAAAATGAAAGTATACAAGATTGGTAAAACCAATCCTAATATATGCAGCGGAGACAAGGACCGATACAAGAAAGACAAAACAACAAATCAACAATATCAAAACGAACGTATTAAGATCAATAGCGGGCATATTAGTAGGAGACAGAGAAACCAACAGAAGTATACGCGAACAATGCAAAATTCAAAATATTAACAGGTGGATAAAAACAATAAAAAAAAATGGAACGAACGTATAAACCGAATGGGACCAGATAGATTAGCAAATATCTGTTAAAACAACAAGCCGTATAGCAGAAGACCCGTTGAAAGGCCGTCAAAAAGGTGGAAAAATAATGCACAGTCAATGACTAAAACAGAATAAGAGGCAGACAAACAGGAGTAATTTTAGTTGCACGAAGAAGAAGAAGAAGAAGATGTACACAATACAAGAGGAGAGTCTGTTCAACTAAAAATGCTGATTTCAATACGTCAAAGTATCATTACTTTGAACATTCTTCTGATAACAAGGGTAAAAATAAAACATTGGTGTTTATTCTTACACTCAATACTGATGATATTGCTGCTTAATTCTATAGTAAATTTAATGCTTGTAAAGATGATTCACAAACCATTCAGCTTCCTAATGCAAAAGCTTATACACCTCGAATGCTACCTTTAAAGAAAGAAAAAATTGAGGACCTTAAGAAAGCAGTAAAGTACGTTTCCCATGAATTTGAAGATTTCTTTGTAGATATAAAGTTTTCACAGCAAAATCATTAAAATATAAGTGTTGATAGTAATTCGTAGCAATGTTTTGTGTTATAATGTGTAACATAAAAATATATTTTTTAATGGAGTGAGTCTGTAATTTTATTGCAAAAAGGTACCTAAGTACATGAAAAAAACATAACATTTTTTATAAATAAACAATATTACTAAATTGGCAAATATTAGTTCTAATCTACTTGTACAGATGTACTTCACTTAAGAAAAAATTATCATGGCATAAAACTAAGGATGTTCATATCCAGACAGTTTGTTGCATATTTCTCAGGAATACGGCCGGTTTACGCTCGACCATTTTGCGCCCTTACCTGAAAAAGACTTGTTTTTGCTTTGCTATTTTCATAATAGAAATATCTAACTACTATAGTTTCCTTAATCGGCCGATTTGCGCTCTATTGCAATATATGTTTAATTTCATTCTACAATAATAGTCTGGTGAACCTGCAGTGAACCAACTAACATGTCAAATAAACAGAAACATATTTTTCCTTTCGATTTGAAAAAAATAATGTCAAATCAAAACTAACAAAATTATAAAATTTTTCTAATACTGTCGAATAACAGAGTGTTCTATAATCTTTAATACCTCTGTTTATAATCATTCTCCTAGAAGTTAATTCTTTAAATATAATTAGTAACTAGAATTTCCAAAATGAGAGATCGCTTGAACTAACTTTCGATAATGCAAACTGGTAACAAATTAAAAAAAAAAACGAAAAAAAAAAAATGAAAATAACATCTTTTAAACACGTCAATGTTTATATTATGTATAAACTATGACAGTCCTAGCTTGAATGAAATTGTGAAGGGAATATGGTTCATTTTTATTTTTTTATAGTTTTATGATTTTTTAAAACTAATTTTACTAGCCTAACCGTTACCTGATCGTTATGGTAGAATAAAATTAAACGACAATTACAACAGAGCGCAAAACGGTCGATATAAGAAAATAATTAGCTATACATCTTCAAAGTGTTAGAGCGCAAACTGGCCTATTTCAGGTAAGAGCGCAAAACAGTCGAGCGCATATCGGCCGACACCATTTCTCAGAAGTTAGTTCAATGACTCGATTCCCTTTCTGAAATAAACCGTTCAAATTCTGAACAACTTTTCTAAATAAAACTATTTGATTGCAGTAGGGCAACAAAAAAAGCAAAATATTTGGTTTTATTATTTTATTGAAATATAATATTTATCTTACAATATCTTTTCTTCTCCTTTTCGTGCACTCCATTCTAGGAGGTTTGCGACCACTACATTAAAATTTTCTTTATTCTGCGCCACTCTTAGTAATTTTTAAACGTTCACACCCATCGAAGTTCTGCTTATGCTAAGTCATGATATGGCTCTTCTGCACCCCTTTGGCCCTCTATCCTTCCTTTCATTATTAATGGCAGCAGGTTGTATTTACCATTTCTCATTATGTGGGCTAGGTAAAAGGTTTTTCTTTTCTTAATAGTTGTTATAAATTCTAATTTTCTATTTACGTTATTTAATACTGTTCGACTTCTAATGTATTGCTACATTTCATTGGCTCCTTTCTGTCTTATGGTATTTAATTTTATTGTCCAGGGTTTAACTCGATACAAAAGGACTGACCAAACGTAGCATTGGATAACTCGAATTCGGCTGTCCAAGTTCAGTTTTCGGTTATATAATATTTGCTTCCATTTATTGTACATGTTTTTAGCCTGTTCTATTCATATTTTTTATTTCTATATGTGGATCTCACTTATCATTTAGCACTATTCCCATTCCTAAGTATCTGTATTTAATTTGTGACCTTGTTCTTATTTAGTGTTTTTTAGGTCAATGTAAAAATTTTTATCCGTTTTGATAATCACCATTAATTTAGTTTTTTGAAGATTTATAGTCAGTCCCATTGCTTCACATGCATTATTAACTCTGTCTAGTATATTTTATAAATTTTTTATTTTTTCTGCTATCAAAACTGTATAGTCTTCATATCTGATATTGTTATATATTTACTGTTTATTTTTATGCCAATTTTAGCTTCGTGTAGTGCTTGTTTGAAATGTATTTATAGTACAAGTTAAAGTCCAATGGAGACCTGACATAGCCTTGTCGGACACCTCTTTTTATAGGGATTTTTATTGATTATAGATTATTCACGTATTTTAAATTTTATACTGTATTGGGACCGTGCAAGTTCGGAACAGCGACACCTGGTGTCGTAAATCAGCCAAATTTACTGCGCTTTCATGTTAGATCGAGGTTACCGGATAACTGTCAAGGACGTGGTCCCAAAAAAGAATAAAAAGAAAAAGTAAGATTGAGGTTATGTCGGTATGTTATTAAAAGGTAAACGTTGATGTAGCGTAAATACAAATAAATATATTATTGAATTACAGCATTACTGTTAATATGGATGCAATAATAAAAACTGGATTTGAGAAAGTAAATCACCAAATAACTTTTCAACCAAGGACGAGTCAAAGGGAAAAGCTTTAGTAGTGGCAAATGTCAAAAAAGAATGGAATAATTATGGGGAGTGGAAGAATTAAGAAAAATAAATTACCATAAATAATGCTAATGCATAAATTAGCAGGTTAAGCCCATGATATCATCATATTGGTTTGAACAATTAATTCTTTCCCTGTAAACTTTTGGACAGAGAATATATCTTAATGCATCTTCAGAAAAACTTGAACACGATGCATTTTTGTAAACTTCAAAAAAATAAAATTCAACCATTAAACTTGATTTTTGGGTTAAAATGAACTCTAAGTGAGTGTTATGAAACTAAAATTTACACTTAAAAGTGAACTTTTATTTATTATTTATTTCAAACTGACTTTAAAATCGGGCGCAAGAATAATGCATAATTTAGGTTATGTTACTTATGCTTTTTTATGATATAAATCCACTTTTCTCTTTGTGCTTCAAAGTTGGAAACGAGTAAAACTTAAATTGACAATTTTTTGTTGTATTTTTACACTTTATAACACAGCATTTCCTAAATCCGATTTTCTTTAGTGACAAAAGGTGTAAATAAACAAAACGAATATGAAATATGACAATTGACAATATGAATTTATGAAATCTATAATCTATGAAATGTGCAGTAAAAAATGCAAGATTTCTCCACTACTCGCGCACGATCGTTTCTCGTATCCCCTCCAAGTACTTGCACGTCGCCAATAAGTTTTTATTGTACGTATTACAAATCTTAAAATAAAAACACGTTCGTGCTTATTTTTCAATTTTCTTGAGTAAAACGCTTGCTTTTTAAATCTCGTAATTGGCTATAAGCACTTATAATAGTTTTTGAACTGTGCCTTTTTCTGAAACATTTTTCCAATTGGTCTAATTTAATCTAACGAAAAGAAATTTGCCGTAATTTTGTCAACAGAGAATCCGGCTACATGAAACACACTGCGACACTTCATCTCTAATAGCAGTCTTGGTAATTAGTGTTGGGTTCGCCTGTTAAGGTCCATCAAGTAAGCTATTATAATTTTTTTGTAGGCTTTATTATATTGATATAAGGTTGAATGTTCGAATAATTAAACTTTGAGGGTATACAAGGCAACTATCGAACACGGTGATTAATTTAATCTTGCCCAGGTACTTTCGATCAATAGATCATCTTCAGGGGCATTTCGTCATGAAGCCATTCTGTCTCCGGCTTCTATACAATATGTAGCTTCTCCATATAAATTTTAAAGTGTTTGTTTGTCTTAGTATATTGTATTTTGTATTGTTATGTCCAAATTTTACATTTATGACATTCTACTATGTCGGATAGGCCACAATTGACGAAATGCCCCTGAAGATGATCTATTGATCGAAAGTACTTGGGCAAGATTAAATTAATCACCGTGTTCGATAGTTGCCTTGTATACCCTCAAAGTTTTATTATATTAGTTCTTGGACTTAGAGATAGGGACTGAGAAGGAACGCGCGAATTAGAGACGTTGGTACTATATAAAATATATCTATGCAATTCTTACAATGTAGACATTAATATTATAGGGTATGGCAAAAGGGATGTTAAGCAATATTTCGTAGCCTTGAAAACAGCGACAAAACTGGTCTCTCTAGTCACCAATGAAGACAAAACCAAAAGACACGCTAGTTACTAAGGATCCTGTAGCACACGAAAAACATGAAACAGTCTGTAAAAATTATATTTTTTTAAAGGATTTACAGCTTTTCATACCCTGTCTCGCTGGTGAATACTAACAACAAAATAAGCAAAGAAATTTAAAGGCGAACAAACCTTACAAATGGAGCATTTTATGGACTTCAAAAACAATTTTCCTTCTCTCCAAATGGATGCAACAAGTTTTATTACATATATATATATATATATATATATATATATATATATATATATATATATATATATATATATATATATATATAGCGCGTTTGCTCTGTACTTGCACAGCTCAGGGGATATACCGTCTTCTCCAGGGGAATTGTTGTTTTTTAACCTTTTTATTGGCTTGGCAACTTCTCCTTCTGTTGGTATAATATTTTTCTTCCTCTCATCGACTACGTCTGCACTGTGGTCATTTATGTCAGTCACTTTTCGGTTGCCTATATTTAATTTCTTAGCAAAATTCTCCGCCCATCTCTCTACTATTTGATCCGGCTCATTAATAATTTATTTGTATTAGTGCAATAAATCATATTTTACCATTTTAACTCCAACTTAATTAACACTTTCTAGCTTTTCTGTCATCCAAAATATTGCATCGAAATTTATATATAGAAATATTGACATTTACTTAATATTTATATTGTATCGTAATTTACTCACCTTTGTCTGGATGAAGTACAATGAGCTGCTATTAGCACATAATTTTTACTTATTATAGAACCACTACAAATCCATTCGGTATTATCATCGATCTGATAACCTAGTTGTATCTAAAATAGAAATAATATAAGATGACCTATCGGGAAAATACTCTGTTAAGAACAAGGGTTTAAAAAAAATTTACATCTGCGATAAATATGCTTAGAATGTACTTCTAATAGCTGAATAGTTTCTCTGACCGATGAGATAAAAGTTACGCTAAAAGCTACTGATGGAAAGTAACGGAGAAAATGTCCGTAGAACTTGTGAAGAATAGTGACAATTAATTACAAAAATCTCCGTTTTTCTGTCAATCGGGCTAGTACGGTGTGAAATAAATTTTTACCTTTTATTTGTGCCCGTCTGGTAAAATTAAATTTTCTCTGGCTTTTTCACTTCTACACTTATTTTATTCTGTTTCAATATTAATAATATCTTCACTTATCTACACTTATATCTCACTAATACTACAGTCTTCTTTAACTTCATTAGTTTGCTTTTTATTATTTTTTATCTAGGTTTTGGATATCTTATTTTAAAAATAGTTTTGATTAAAAACTACTGGTGGTTATTACTTTTTGTTTATTTACATTTCACAATATGTACCCTGTATTTGTATAGTCTTATCATAATCATTTTTTCTGACTTAGCATTAGGCTTTTTTGTAAATTGTTTATGTATAGCTGGTTCCTAAAAGAACTGATACGACCCTTAAAGCGTATTTTTCAGAAAATTCAGCAGTGCATTTTGAACGATAAATACTTATTATTTACATTCTGTTTTAATTAAAATAGGTTTACTTTTAGCAAAGAATTTTAGTTTGGTAAGTCTTTTGAAAGTCTAACTATTGAAAACTATTGGAATTGAAGCCTTTTTCCATATTTCCTCCAACTTCATGGCAACCTTTTCGGCGATAACGAAAAACGCTGTCTCTGCTGGTTGTGAAGCTACACCTAATGCGATAGCCACACAACTCGCCATTTTTTTATTCCACATGTTGATAGCACAAGTTTCAGTCGGGCACTAATTTATTGAGCAATAATATTGATTCGTCTGTGTTGACCTACTGAATTATTGTGCAATATATACAATAATATTGACTGTCTAGGGGCCGCTTTATCGATTAAGTACATGGAGAACGTTACTAGATAACGTTTAAATTAATTTTTTCTTTTTGTGCATAAATTTTAATTTATTTGTGAATTATTGATCTCTTTATTTTGGTATTTTAAATTTTATGTAAAGTACAGGCCCATAATAATAAACAATCAGAATGCCCACTCTCCATGAAAAATTAGGTACGCGCATCTCGTTCGCGCAGACGTTCCGCTATGTTTTAAAGGGAACCAGTGAAAATTTATCTGGTGTGCATAGAAAAATTAACCCGGTTTAATTGACTTAAGGCAATTATAGACATACTATACAATTATATTAACCCTTAACCACTGACATGCGGTATGCCATACCGAGCCGAAAATATATTTTGTTGTAAAACGTGTTTTATAAAAGATTCTTAGAACACCATCTGTGTACCTTCAAGTGGGTTTTAATTGTACCTGCTCTCAACTGCTGCAGTTTTAGTACACGTCTAGTCTTTGAGCTACGTTGACATAAAGTTTTCTTGTGGTATCAAGTACCGCATGTCAGTATTTACGTTTCTATAGTTAAAAGCAGTGTAGTGTATTCTTTTGCTGTTAGTATGGCAGCAAGTTCATCCAGTTGTTCTAAATTTATCATCAAAACTGTAAAGCTTTCATATGATGATTCTGAGGCTGTTTTATCTCAATGGGCTGACGAAGTAACTAGTGATTTAGAATATTTTAGTGATAGTGACGTTGACGATGCAAGCGAAGAAGTATGTATTGAAAGTTCACACGACACCGGAGTGAGCAGTCGGAAAGTTCTGAAGGCGAATATCATTTCAATGATAATGGTAAGTCATATTTTTATGGCAAAAATCGTTTTAGGTGGTCTACTACAGCACCCTCGAAAAATGTAAGAACTCCGTTACACAATTTTGTAACAAAAGTACCAGCTGTGCGGTCCAGAGATGTAAGAAACGAAACTTCACCATTTTTTTAATGTTCTTATTTCTGAGGATATAATACATTCGATATTTGCTACAGATGGTACAGGTAGAGATATATTCAGATATGTTACGTCAAAAGAAAGATTTGCAATATTTCTAAAATGTTTACGTTTTGATCACCCTCTGGATAGAGAAGAAACAAAAAGATAGATCCAATAGCAGCCATTAGTAACATATTTAATATATTCATATCAAATTGTCAAAAACTGTATTCCGAAGGCACATGTGTTTGTATTGATGAAATGTTGGTCGGCTTTAGGGGAAGGTGTAGGTTTAAAATGTATAAGTTCACAGGCTTCACATAAGCCTGTGAAATATGGCATTAAAATAATGTGCCTGACTGTTGCACGAACAAGTTACTTATACAATGCCTATATATATGGAGGCAAGGACACTAACAGAACTGGGTTATCTGAGAAAGAAAAGAAGATGAATAAACCAACTCAATCTGTTCTTCGGCTTGCTAAACCTATTTATGGAACTAACCGTAATAACAGTTAGAAGTAAAGAAGTTAACGTATGCGGGAACCCTCAAGAAAAATAAACGGGAAATCCCTCCGGAATTACAGCCACACCGATGTAGGCAAATTCAACTACTTACGGATTTACGAAAAGTTTATCCCTAATTCCCCATGTGCCAAAAAAATCAAGGGCTGATTTATTTATTTCTTCGATGCACCATTCAATAGGCACGGATCAGATTACTGGAAAACCAAAAATTATAGCTTATTATAATCTTACGAAAGGAGGTGTCGATACTTTAGATGCCAAGTGTGCCAAATATTCTGTAAAACGTCGTTCTCGCCGATCGCCACTTACTATTTTTTACCGCATCATTGATATAGCTGCTGTTAATTCGCATGTTGTGTACCAATCACTACAAGAAGAAAATATGGAAAGGCTAAACTACACAAAGGAGTTGGCGAAACAATTAGTTTTACCTCATCTACAAAGAAGACTCGAAAATCCCGAGAGAATTATTATATGGTATTGAACGAATATTAGGACAAAAACGCCAAAAAGAAGCAGATTTTGAAAAAAGGCTTGAGCAAAAGAAGACGTGTTACTCATGCCCAAGTGCATTAAAGCGAAAGACCTTTTATGTGTGCTTTTCTTGTGGAAAACCAGTGTGCTTACAGTGTACAAAGAAAAATTGCGCGCAAAATGACTAGTTATTTTATTGTAATTTTTGGTTATTGTCAGAATTTTGTATTTTAGTTTCTCATTAAATTTAAATCATTTATCTGTTTCTTTTAACATTATTTTACCATTTGTTAGTCACAAGTAATCAATTTTTCTTGTAATTTAGTTTATAAACGATTTTGTAGTAACGTCCACCATTTTTTTTAAAATATTATGCATGCATTCATAATATTCTTGAAAAAGTAAAGTTGATTTTACTTGTAGCAGTATATTATGCTACAGCAATGTGAAGAATCATTCCTTAGTTGATATAAAAAACAAGTACAGTGATATAAGATAAATTCATATTAAAAACAAAGAAAAATAGGCAAGGGTATGACATACCGCATGTCAGAGTCTACGTCCTGAAACATCCACGTCAGTAGTTGTTGTTGTTTGTTTGTGTTTAAATGACTGCGGACACTAAATCCGTTCGCCAGTCTTACAATTTGAGATATAGTGTGTGTGTGTGTGTGTGTGTGTGTGTGTGTGTGTGTGTGTGTGTGTGTGTGTGTGTGTGTGTGTGTGTGTGTGTGTGTGTGTGTGTGTGTGTGTGTGTGTGTAGAGTAATTGTCTTGATACTTAGCAAAGTCGACGTCATTGTCTTTGCTAAGAGACGCTAATTGTATCCGAACGTCTGCGGTCCCTTCGGTGTGTACCGATCACACAAGGATAGAAATTATTTTCATTTATTAATTTTTTTAATAAACGAAAATTTCCACCCAGGTGGGATTCGAACTCATGACCTTTAGGTTTAAAGGCAGGCGCTCTTACCACTGAGCCACAGAGGGGGATACGTCAGTAGTTAAGGATTAACATTGTTAAATATAATAACATAAATATAATATAATTAAACATAAATATAAACAATTACATAACCTCACAAATCATATGTCTGTGTCGAGGTTAGTAAAAGGGAGGTTGCATGGTAACACTGACATTGACAGAGTGAAATATGACGTGTGACGTCACCCAGGGGGTCAATTTTACGAATTGTTTGAAAACAAAATAGGAGAAGTGGTTTGGAGAATATATTTTGTTGTTAAATATCGTTAGTGCTTTAGTTTATGAGATACAATATGTCTATAGAATATATTATTGAGTGATTTTTAGTATACAACTTGTACCCAAAACTCTTATACAAGTGTTAAGATACATTTAACGTAGTTATGTCTTACTGGATTTTATTTCTGCTGTATTATACAGTAAAGGTAACATTGGGATTAATGCGGGAAAAACATAACTTAATTCAATTTTTTTATTGATTCAGATGAGTGTTGGAAATATTTGTAGTGTGGCAATCTGCAAATATAATTTAAAAAAATTCCAAAAAGTGTGGAAAAAGTGTTTAAAAAAAGATAAGTGGTCCTGTTTTAATAAAAGAGTTTGTAGTATACATGTTCGAATGGAAGATTATGAGGATGCTTTAAAAGCTAAACTATTAAACATACAACCTAAACAATATGTTAATTCACTGATTTTGATTTTTATAATTTACTGGTGATTATATACAACTTAAAAGGTATCTATTTAATGAAATCATGTTTTAATATTTTTTATATTCTCTTATATAATCCAGTAATGTATGTTCCTTAAATATATTGAAGTTAACGGAAAAACTAGTAATTCTAATCTATATATCTTTAGTTGAATCTCTTTTTCAGCATGGTTTACTTGTTTGGAGGAATTTATACTAATCCACTACATGCATTATCCTCAATTCAAAATAATTTAAAAAAAGTAAAGTGTATTCAATCCATCATTATTATAGAATATTAACATGTTTTAGTCACATGTATACACAAAAAAGAATCTATTTCCAAATTAATATAGTAATTCTATTCTACTACATATGTTTAGCTGCAATAATATTTTATGATTTCTATAACTCTGCAGGTATTTATCTATCAAATTTTTAAAAAATTGAATGAAATAAATAGTTATTAAAAGTCCAAAAGTATTTTTTTCAATATACATAGATTAATATATTTACAATCATTGCTGCTTTTCGAGTTCATTTCAAGGAGTAAAATGAATGAATTGAAAGGTAGCATTCTCAGTGACGTCGTTCCCGCCGTTAGATTCTCGACGCTGATTGGTGTAAAGTTACCAGACAACCTGTCTATTTTTAATAACCTTGTGTCTGTGATATGTGTTTCCTTCTAAAACATGGCGCGCGTGCTGAAAAACTTCAAAGGCGGCATCTGAGAGTGGGCATTCTGATTGTTTATTATTTTGTGGTACAGACGAGTCTTATTTAATTTTGATATGTCAAAAAATATATAGTAAATTAATTCGCTTTTATAATTTTTTTTATTGTGCATCTTATATTAATAGGAAAACGTACCTTGTTGTGCCATTGAATTTCAAGATATACTTAAATAATATTTGGGTATTACTAAGAAACATTTTTGAAATATATTTACCATATGAGGAAAGTCTCCAGATTCTGCAAACACTGCTCGAGATATTGAGGGTTTAAACTTCGAAAGGGGACAAATATTATTTTTCTTCGCATTATCTGTGTAGATTTTACACACTAAAAAATGTTAAATAAGCTACTGCCTCGAAGTATTTTTATTTTTAAGGTTTCTGTATACTTACTTGCATTCGCTATAGCGCCTGGAGATAAATCTGAAATTAAAAAATAGATATATTAAGAATAATTTTTAGAAGAAACTTTTAGATAAGTGCTATAGCTCTATCGGTTATAATTCCTACCTACAATCACTTGCTAATTAATGGTGTAAACTATATATTTCTGCTTCAAACACTAATTTAAAGGTGTTTTATGTTTTGTATAGTAATAAAATATATTTTGGTGTGCTTTATACTTTATACCATCATCAGTGGTAGCTGAAACGATTATGATGAGTTACATTATATAGGGTGTCCAGTAGCTCTCCTGACAAACGAAGATTGGAAATTCCTCAGATAATATTAAGACAATTTAATTCAATTCACCTAGTACCAAAATACGTCCTAAGGGAGCTAGAGCTCTTTGAAGATGGCTGCTTGTAATTAGTTTTTTTAAAAACCTCCAGAACGCTTCTATTTAGAAAAACAAAAATTGGTACGATTATTTATTCTCTAGAGCAGTGGTTCCTAAACTTTTAATCTCGCGTACCACACACGAAATTATAAATGAGTAGCGTACCACTGAACTGTGGTAATCTTTAAAAAAACCTTGAAAATGGTAAAGTAATAAAAACTGCAACAACTGTTTACGACAACATTATTATTTATTAGTTATAGAAAAAAATACAATATACTCAGTGCGAAAAATGATGCTGCAAAAGAGAAGAAATATCTGGCTCAGTTGTACTTAATTTCAGGCTTAAATTAGTGTCTATGTTAAGCTTGTTACGATATTTATTTTTTATTATCAACATAGCAGAAAATCCGCTCTCACAGAGATATGCGGTTGTAAATGGAATTAGAAACAGTAATGCTTGTCTGGAGAGCGATGGATATTCATTTTTAACTTTTAGCCAAAATTCACACAGCTCTTCTTTGTTGAATTCCACTTGCAAAGATTCATCACCAGATAACTCTATCAGATATTCCTTTTCATTTACACTTCAATTTTCACGAACACTATCCAGATCCGAAACGAATGGGTTCCTTATCCAATTGAACTCCGAATAATCTTCTTTAAAATATTATTCAAATATTTCAACGATCATTTGGGTGTGATTTTTGATGTTATTGATCACAATGTCACTCACTGTAAGTTCATTTTCAGTTATAACATTTTCTAAATTAGGAAAAGATGCTAGGTTCTCATTCGACACGCTCTTTTTAATCATTTGAAATTTTTTGTAAATGCTTTTTTGTCATTTACTGAAAAACTATTTGTAGATCTACCTTGCAAACTTAGATTTAAGTCGTTGATGCGATTAAAAATATCTGATAAGTAAGTCAATGATATAAGCCAGTGTTTGTCTGTCAGTCGATTGCGTAATTCAAAATCAGTCCCCATCAGAAACAGCTGCACCTCAGAACGTAACTGGAATAATCTGTTCAGCATTTTGCCTCGCGAAAGCCATCTAACATCTGTATGTATCAGCAACTAGATATGGTTACTGCTCATTTCGGAACACAAGTTTGAAAATAAACGAGAGTTAAGTGCCCGAGATTTAATAAAATTTACCATCTTGGAGAACATTTTTAAATTGTTCGGGCATTCGTTTTACTGCTAACGCTTGTCTGTAGTGTATTCTGCAGTGCATAAAAGTACAACTCTTAGCAACATATTTTACTTTTGTGGCTACACCTCCAAATCTATCTGTCATAGCTCGAGCGCCATCAGAGCAGAAGCCAACGCAATTTATCCAGTCAAGTACATTTTCAGCAAAGAATTCATCCAGTTTGTTGAAAATTTCATCAGCTGTAGTTCGTGTTCATAACGGCTCACAGAATAAATAATTTTCCTTAATTGTTTAATTTTCATGTATATACCGCACGTAAACCATAAGTTGAGCATAGTTCGTTACATCTGTACTCTCATCAAGTTGTATCGAAAAGGAATCGCTACTTTTTACATGATTGATGACTTTAGTTTTAACATTTGATGCCATACTGTCGATCCTAAGTTGAACGGTATTATTGGACAGTGATATCAGTTCTAGCTTTTTAGCTGACGCCTCACACAACATACAGGTAATCATATCTTTTGCTGCAGGTAACAAAAACTCTTCGCCAATTGTGTGAGCTTTTCCAGACTTTGCAATTCTTACGCTAACTAAGAATAATGTCTCTACTGATTTTTCGGTGCTACCAGTAAATGAAGACATGGATTTCTTAGAGCTTTTCATTTCTATTAATTTTCGGGTGAAAGAATCCTTCGGTTTGCTTACTAATGTAGAATTTTTGTGTTAAAATGACGATTCATTAATGAGGGTTTCATATTTTGATTTGATAAAATTTCAAAGCAGATGACACACTGCGGGCATGGCTCATTATTTACATCCGTCACCGTAAATCCAATATTTATGTATTCTGGGTCATATTTTCTAGTAATTTTTCGAATTTTAGTAGGTATTTTATTTTCTTGAATTACGGCACAATCTAGCTCCGAAGTGGAATTCGATGGTAAAGAATTTTTAACATCATCTTGAATCACTGCACAATTTAATTCTTGAGGTGAACTTGGAGGTACATTATTTTGAGCACAAGGTCTTTTTACACTACTAAGCTACTTATCCATGTTAATTCAAATATATTAAACTTGACTTAAAACAAATTAGATAGGTAATTTGACGAATGCTAGCTGGTTGGTCGTGCGTGCGGACGCTCGATAGCTTTCACTGTTTGACTCGCGTTGCGGTCGCCGAAAGATGCGCTGGTCAGCAAAATAGGCGAAACTGAATGCAACCTAGACGCGACGGCGCCCCCACGCGCCGTGGGGTTGTTAACTCAGTAAATTTAACTGTTTATGTCCTATAAGTGCTTGAGTACCCCCTTAATAATCGTCGCGTATCACTGGTGGTATAGATAGTTCAAGCACTCCTGACCATGGAGCTGCGCTAAGGCGGAGTCAAATTCACGTAAAGGCAGAAAGGTTCTATTGTAAGTGGAATTATACAGTGTATAGTACCATGCGTTTCGCATGAAAGTGGAAACTAAACCAAATTTCGTCTACTGCGCCGTGGTCAGGAGTACTTGCACGCACTTCTGACCTAGAAGTCAGGAATCGCTGCTCTAGAGTTAAATCGAATCAATTGCCAATTTCTAGTACCGGTCATAGACATCCGCTTTGGGTAGGTCAACAGTTATTTTAAGGCCTAACTTTTTTTTTATTAGTGGATTATTAGATTTACAGGTATTCTAGTACTAAAAGGTACTCCTATTTTATGTCGGTAGGATACGCAGTTTTCGAGAAAAATTGTTTATTAGTCTTAAAAATTACATTAATTCATTTTGCACTAGTTGGCTTTGAATTGTCCACAGAACTTTAAGCTGCTTTTTCATTGTCAAACTGTTGTCAGTTCGTGCAGTTTCTGTTTTAGTTTTTACTTTGTGGCATTTAAACACAAAAATTTTAATTCAACAAAAATGGTTGTTACTAATGAGGATGAGAAATACGCTAATATACATTTAGTTTATTGCGAAATAAGGTATAACGCTAGAGCAGTAACACAGATACGTTGAGAATTTTTCCGATTATGAGAAAAAGTTCTGTAGTGTTCCCAAATAATAATGAAGCAAGGAGACATAATGTTGAAAATTTAGTAATTAGCGTTGGAAGCATAAAGGTCTAGCATAAACGTCTGGATAGGAGTAGTTGACAATTATTTAGTTAAACCTGTGGAATTGTCTGCTCGATTCAATGGTGGTAACTGTTAACATTTCCTGCACAAAGTTTTACCTGATTTGCCAAATGATGTGCCTTTAAATATTCGTCAAAACTTATACTTTTTACATGACGACTCGCTAGCCCACTTTAGCAGGAATGTACGACACTTTCTTGATCAGAGCTACGAAGACCACTGAAATGAAACAGGTGGTCCCGTTACTTCGCCAGCAAGGTAGCCGGTTTTGAATCTTTGCGATAATTGCATTTGAACATATATAAAAGCATCTGTTTTTTCCGTTACGATACAAAACCGTGCAAAACTCTAGCTAAGGATATAAGATGCTTGCAATGAATTTAGAAATAACTTTTATTTTTGTAATTTTGTAATTTTTACGTTCGGCGTTCTCCAAGCAAAATGAAAAATTTATGCGTAGAGACTAATGGTTATCAAATTGAGCATCTTTTGTTTCTATACCTTTGATACTCGTGCTTTTGTGTTACTCGTAGTTTCGTTCCATCTTAATAAATATTTTGTTTTTAAAAACTTTTGAATTCAATTTTGTTTCAAATTGGTTTTTTGATTCTTTTCCCAAATTTTTGTTTCCCAAATAATGTACTGCATTTATTAAAACCAAAGGTAATTTATAAAGATAATTAAGGTACTTATTAATTAAAGTTTTGCTATTTAGTTATTCATATTTCGATGAGGTACCCCATATTAAAAAAAGAAGCTTCCAGCTGCAATGAAAGCCGAGATAATGTAAATTTTTCTACATGTTTCAATTTGAAGTTCCGGCCTCGAAAAAAATCGAAGCTGGAACAGTTATCTCCTTCAGTTTCGTATGTCGATCTTTCGAAATTACCTTCGTTCGAAGGGCTATATGTTTCGAAACATTGCATGAACTTTATTCAGATTTATTAGATGTTCATTCAAAACTTTTGCAAATTTTACTTCTTAAAGTTTATAAACAACGAAGGTATGATTTTTTTAAAAATAATTTTTACCTTCGGTTCCATTGGTCATAAAAGGTTTTTTTAAATGTAAGTTTTTTTAACACCTATGCAGGGGTTGTACGTACAAGTCTGTAGCTTGAAAACTACAAGTTATTACAATTGTTTATAAGTAAAAAACATACCTCTTTTTCAAATGTTAATTTTGTAAATAATTTCGATTGAAACGCAATATGCATTTAACTTCTAAGATAGTTTAAGTCTAAAGAAACCCTATGAAATTTTTGCTAAATTTGTCTAGCATCATTAAGAGAGCAAGTTCATTGAATAGTTTAAATATTTAGCCTCAGGAATTATTAAATTAAATAACCTTAAAAATATTTGA